GAGAGAGAGAGAGAGAGAGAGAGAGAGAGAGAGAGAGAGAGAGAGAGAGAGATAGATAGATAGAGAGAGAGAGAGAGTGAGATCCCACCAACGGCGGCGGCGAACGCGACGACGACGGTTCCGGCGATGGCGGCGGCGGCGCGAGCAAGGGGAGCGGCCAACTCTCCGGGAGGGCTCGCGGCGTAGCGGCGGCGGACGCCACGCACACACGCCCGTACGCACGGAGGCACCCATACGTACGGCCCGTACGAGCGTACATACGCAGCGTCCCGTACGTACGGCCCGTACTCCTAAACGGGCCGGTGGTCGGGCCGTGCTCGCCGCTAGGGTTTTCGAGTGCCGGGCCCGTTTGGGGGGGTGGTGGGGGGGGGGGGGAAGGGGGACAGGCCCGGGCAGGACGGGCTTTGGCGCTGTCCATTAAGCTCCGTTCCGACATCTGTGGGCGGTGGGCTACCTGCAAGGCTACAATGGAGCCCAAGAAAGGGAGGGGAGATCAGCCATTCGTTCCGGTTAGTAAAGACAAGCAGAGGGAAGCGGAGCTGAAGTTTTGCGGCTTTAAGTGGGTTACGAAGGGGCAAACGATGCCGAATTCGAATGGCAATTTCCTCATGGAGTGCAAGCTGTGTGGTCAGGGTTTTTAGGGGAGCCAGACGAAAGCCGCACAACACTTCACGATCAAGAACAATTGCCCCAAAATCTCCGTGGAGCAGATGGCGGAGATATGGAACAAGACAAAGTACGCGTTCGATCCAAGCCATGCACGRAAGATCRTGGACTTTCTGAAGTCTYGTGGGTTGCGAGACAAKARATGTRKATCGGGGAGGGAGYCGGCGGGGAATGAGGAGTTTGAGGACAGCGAGGAGGAGAGGAGGGCGGTCGAGGGTGGAGATGATGATGGTGAGAGTGATGCAGAGGACATGGAGGTGCGGCGAGAGGTGGAGCGCGCCTGGGGAAAGCTGAGGAAGGAGAAGGCCGTTGACGAGGACAACACCCCTGACGAGGACGCCGCCGCCGACGACGACGATGAGGGAGCATACCTTGGGGCCTCTCTGGATGGGGGGTTAATGGGCGATGGTCGTCGTGGCCAAGAGGGGGCAGCTAGGGCGATGAAGGAGGCTGCGGGATCGAAGAAGAGAAAGAGGAAGGCGAAGATGACTACCACTGAGGCGAGATCAACACCTTCTGAGCCCAAAAAGAGCAGAGTTCTTCGACAGACGTCCATGCTGGAGACCTTCGATCCAGTGTGGCAACGAGAATTCTCGGACTCCGTCCTGCAGTGGTGGTACGTGAGCGGCATCCCATTCAAGGCGGTGAGGAGGCCAGAGTATCATAGGATGAGGAAGAAGTTGCTCGAGTGTACGCCGTATGCACATCCGGCATTACCCACGCACCGTGTCATTTCGTGCGAAGGCATCCCTCAGCAGCAGCGAGTTGTGGCGGACATGGTGGCGGCCATCCGCAGGGACATTGAGGCGACGGGAGCGACCATCCTCACGGATGGTCGCAAGTCCATCACGAGCGACCAGATAGTCAACTTCCTTGCTGCTGGTCCCATGGGCGCGTAGCTTTTCAGAACTGTGCAGCGGGATGGTGCTGTTCAGGAGACAGCAGAGGCTGTAGTGGAGCGATGGAAGGACGTGTTCGACAAGTTTGGTGTCGACAAGGTGAATGCCATTTGTACTGATTCCGCGTCTGCGTATGTTGCTGCGTCCAAGCTCCTCGCCCAGGAGGAAGTCAAATACAGCCGCATCACTTGGCTTCCGTGTGCGGTCTATGTTTGCAACTTGTTGTTGTCAGACATCGCGAAGGATGGGTGCGACGGGAGCCTCGGGAAGAGGGAGGACACCATCATCAGGGCTCGAGCTGTCGTGCGTTTCATCAGAGAGCACGGTGCGGCTCTGAGCCTTTATTGACGGTTCTCTGCCGCCCACCCCTCTTCCGCCTCCGCGGCGGCTGGTGGTTCGAGCTCTGCGCCACCCTCGTCTCAACGGCGAGGCAGGGAGCTTGTGTACCCTGTGCAGACGAGGTTTGCCACCCACTACTTGATGCTGGAGAGGCTGTTGGATCGTCGCAGAGCGTTGGAGGCGTTGATGATGAGCGACGATTGGTTGCGGACTGCATGGAGGAGGTCCATTTTTCTGCAGGCCAGATGGGTGCGTCATCAGGTGCGGTACGCGCCATTCTGGGAGCACGTGGAGGACATCGTGGCGCTCATGATGCCTGTGATGAAGTTGCTACGGTGTCTGGACAAGGACGAGCTCCACATCGTTGTTCAGGCTTGTCAGGTGCGGGTCGCTCATTTGTTGGAGCCCGCACATTGCATGGCCCACCTCCTCAATCCGCGGCAGAGGAGCATTACTTTTTTTGGAGTGGCGAGGCGTACCGACCACGAGCGGATACTGGCAGATGAGTTGTTGCGATACCTTCGCCACCAGACTGGTGGTGACGAGGATTTGTATCAGACGTTGCGCACGGAGCTGGTGGAGTTTCATTCTCGGGAGGGCGATTGGACGTATGGAGGGGCCGAGGGAGACAGGGATGCGGCCGCCTGCAAAGGGGAGAAGGAGACGTCACAGGTGGGGCAGTGGTGGGTTCAGCATGGGGACGGGGTCCCTCTCCTTCAGAGCATCGCCATTCGCTTGTCGCACACATGGACGTGCGCCTCTCCGGCGGAGAGGAATTGGGCCGTCCATAAGCGTGTCTAGGTGAAGAGGCGCAATCAGCTTGGTTTCATCAAGCTGACTCGTTTGGTGGAGATATCCACCAACTTGAGATTGAGTCGTTGTCAAGGGAGGGGTTTTGGGTACGTTCTTCCATGGGAGGACGCTGAGGAGGAGACAGAGGACGCAATTCCTCCACCTCGTGATAAGGGTGTTTGGCCGGCTGACCGAGTCACCGAGGCACAGCGCGACCGGCAGGTCCAGCGCGGGCGAAAGGATCGCCTTTCAAAGCCACCTTCCAGCATCGCGACGTATTTTGGTCGTCGCGCCACGGTGCTCATGGCGCATGAGTTGGAATCGGTGTACGATCTCGAGCCTGATCCCATGGCTTAGGACGCGATGGAGGCCGAGCCGTGGTCCGATCTGGACGACCTGGCCGTGGAGTCAGAGCCAGGAGGTTCTGATGACGATGACGATGACACTCCTCGCGTCCAGATTTCGCATCCTCGCACACGTGCGTCCACGGCGGCCGCTGCACCGTCTCCCGCAGCACGCCCTCCTTCGAGTGCTCCCGACGTCTCACATCCAGGCCCGGCGGACCGTGTCGAGAGCAGTACGCCACACCCTTCGACCGATCGTCACGGACAGGGAGGGACTCGCGAGCGTGTCGACGAGGGAGATGACGGCCATGGCGACGATAGGGAGGGATATGAGGGCAGTAGTGAGGATGAGGATGATCCCTGTTGTTCCCCGACACGCGGACATGGTGACGACGATGACGAGGAGGGCGACGACGGTGGACGGGCTGTGGGTGGTTTGTGGAAGTCCGAGAGACAGCGTGGCGACCGATGCAGTGGTGCAGGCAGGGGAGGCAGCGGGCCGGGTGTTTGGGGTGAAGGGCGCACAGGTGGTGCACGGCGTGCTGGCACAGGAAAAGTAAGGCGAGAGTCTGCATCGTCCACTCGCACTGTGCATTGGGTTAATGAGGAGAGGCCCGCTGAGGCAGCTGTGGTTGCTCCCTCCCCTATGGAGGTTGCTCCCTCCCCTGCAGAGTTCGCTGCAGCGTCTGGGGAGGTTGCTCCCTGCGCTGCAGAGTTCGCTGCGGCGTCTGCAGAGGGCGCAGCGGCGTCTGCGAAGGGTCCAGGGGGGTTTGCGGTTGGTAGTGGCGATGCTGGAGAGGTTGGGAGGCCATCTGCACAGGTGGGTGTCAATTTCAGTGACAATATTTTTGATGTTTCGTTAGGGCATCCTCCGACACCGGCAGGGGAGCGTGTCGGTCTCGATGTGGACGCAGCGGCCACGCCCGTCAGTCAGATACTTCATGACATACCTTCATGCAACATAGGCGACATCAGTAGTAGCATATTGCAGGAGGCAGCAGAGGGGGCACCGGGTCGGTCGGGGCAGCACGAGCGTGCAGCTGGGGATGATGGGGAGTATCGACCTGTGCAGGAGCAAGCGATAGAGTTAGAGCAGGACAGGATCGACCGCGAGGAGAGGAGGAGGGCGCAGGGGTTGGCTAGCCGCTGCGAGATGACGCAGAGTGTTGCATCGAGGGCAAGTGTAGCGCGGATGCTCGAGATGGGCATTGAGGCAGGTGATGCAGAGGGCGAGTGCGGCGTTGTGGGCATAGGGGATGCGGGCGAGAGACCTGTGTAGCCAGTTCAGGGTGTTTGCGTTTTGCCTCTCGGTGGGGCCATGTCGGCGGGGGAGTTGGAGCGGCAGGCACGGGAGGACCCGTTGCAGGCAGATCGCCGGGGACGGATGACCGAGGCGTCGAGGAGACTGATGGCAGAGGCCTCGACTTACGTGCCTTGCAGCCCGTCAGTGCCATCGTCCACCACAGGTGTCAGCACACCCGCATATGTGGAGGGCACAGTCACGGAAGAGGTGGTACGGGGCCCCTCACCGACACCTGCCGGGGAGTCTCCTTCTCCTCAGTCACGGAAGAAGAAGATGAGAGCAGGGAAAAGTCTTAGTACCGTGAGGAGAGTGATGCCGACAATGCGGGCGAGTCAGCCTGGGTTAGACGGTTTACATCCGCGGACACGGGCGATTTTGAGCGGGGACGTTGTCGCAGACGCAGCAGGATGGCAGGAGAGGGTCTCTGACCGAGCGACGAATCAGCCCATGAGCGCACCTGCGGAGGCGACGTTGCCACATACTGCAGGGCGTACAGCGGGCACCGGCGACCACACCGAGCACAGTGCGCCCCCCGGGAGGAGCATGGCTGCACGTATATTGCGGGAGGATGTGAGGGCAGCGACCGTCACAGGCGCCAATCATTTGGGAGTTTGGCACAGACGATTTGGAGATGCCTTATGGCCAGCGGAGGAGGGTTTCCGTGTACGATCTTCTTCGACCACAGGGAGGGGTTGAGGCGGCGCCACAGGGGGAGATTCATGCTCCGCATACTACGCACGCGCCGGCAGGCGGCACAGGTCGTGGGGATGGTGTGACAGGTGTGGTGCCGCAGAGGAGGAGGAAGGACATTGTGGACGACGATGATGCATAGTTCCACCATTAGTCTTCTTTCATCCTCTGATTCGTAGTAGTGTACAGTATATTTAGTGCTTGAGACGAGGCCTTGTGTTAGTAGGAGTAGCCTGTAGTGCTTGAGACGAAGCCTTGTGTTCGTTGGAGTGGTCTGTGCAGGTCGTCATGACTGCATTTGTATTTGTATAGGTGGTTAGACTATTTTATACTATTTCCATGCACGGGTGCAGTTTGTTTTTGTTTCTTGTTTTATTTTATCATCGATGTTGTAGAGGATTGCACTTTTTTTAGTATTTCTTCTGACACGGGCTCAGCAGGTGCAGTGCTCACAGTTTTATTTTTTGTTTGTCCTGTTATTTTTGTATCGATGTTTCTGACGATTCGAGAGTTTTTTCGCACACCATTTGACTGAGTCCAGCGTGCATGTGTCTTTTATTGTTGTGTGTGTACGGCGCAGCTGTTTCGCCGTGTTCTTTCATGTGCCTGTAATGTTACACTTTCAAAACTTGTGCAATGATTGTTTCTTGCAGACTTGCAGATGATGGAGAATGACTCAATGGTTTTGAAAAATCGTGTTTATACTTTCAGTCTTGTACTCGTTTCGTCGTGTGTGTAGTTCACATCTGTTGCATTTGTCAGCCACGCCGACAAAACCCTCCCCAACCCCCAAACAGTGGCAAACACGACCTTGGGATGACCT